TTATGTCTTTTGTATTTCAATTTGTTTTTAATGTACTTGTGTTGTGGTGTTTTATACTTTGATTGTGTGTTTGTTCTTGAAGGGGAAATTCTTGGTGGGGATGACTTCGGATTGTCCGAGCTTTAGGAAGAAGATGAATTTGCAGAAATTTGAATACAAAAAGAGTGATCAAATGAAAATGTACGGAGTTTTCTTTCTCCTTTTCTCTCTCAAATTCTTTCTTGGCCTAGCCACCTTTTTATGTAGAAATTTGAATACAAAGAGAGTGATCAAAGGAAATGGATTTCTAATTTTCATGTATAAGGTGAAAGACAGTGATCTTTTGCTTAGATAACGATCTTTTATTTACAATGTCGGTTGTTTTTATGCTTCGCTTAATGCTGAAGACATCTAGTGATGGAATTGGTCTTTATCGGTATTTTTGGGGTTTCGAGTTTGGGAATCACTCTTTGATGTGGAATGTGCTTTGGTATCTATGACCACTTCAGGTAGACATATCTCATTATAATTAAGTATAATGCTTTTGTTGCGTGATCGTTTCCCTGGTTAGATGTATTTGTGTTTAAGTGAATTTTCTTTGTCTTGTATTATGGAGTTTGGTATTCTACTGCTTCTAGAACTTTTATGACATTAATCTTTTGTTGGATTTCGAGTATGGTGAGATTTTTGCTAGGCCGAGACACTGCAATCATGTGTCCTGCATATAGAATAAAAAAAAAAAAAAAAAAAAAAAAAAAAAAAAACAGAATGTACCTTATTGTTTTGTTTTCTTATTATATGTGTACATATTGAACTTTTCCGTGGCCTTTTTTTGGGCATCATTATACGTCCAGGAACAATAATTCAAATATATTTTTTTTCTATCAGTGTTGATATTAATCAGTATAGGGTCGATTATTGTCAATGTAGTACAGATGTATCAAGCTTGTTATGTGCTCTATTTGTGACTGTCAAATAAGTTAAGTTCCTTTGCGGGTAACAAATTTGGGTCGACAAATTAATAACCAGGTGTAGTTTGATTCTTGAACCACCCATGAACGGGCTTCAGCTTAGATCTTGCTTGCATTGGATAAATTTGCTTTATTCAGGTGCAAGCATAGATGAGTATGATTGGTGGTAAATGTAAAATGCTTATGTTATACGTACAGTGATCCAAATGAGTATTGCTATGTTGTGAAAAATATGATTTGAACTCTAGATTGTTGTAACTCTCTCTCTCTCTTTGTAACTCTCTCTCTCTCTTTGTAACTCTCTCTCTCTCTTTGTAACTCTCTCTCTCTCTCTCTCTCTCTCTCTCTCTCTCTCTCTCTCTCTCTCTCTCTCTCTCGCCCTCCCCTTTTTCTGTAAAGGGATTGAAGTAAGAAACTTAGTAGTAAATATTCAGTAATATGGTTCATACTGATATAGTGATCTGGAGTTATCTTAATGTTAACTTCAGAGATTTGCCATTCTAAGAATAGCATTTTCGCGTTTTTGTATTCAAATATTAGCAGTTTGAAATTCACCACTTGGGGGTAAGAGGGTGGAGCAGTGTTTTCAGGTCGGCTGGTCGAACCTGGTCGACCACGGACCGACCAGACGATTAATCGTGATTAATCGTCGACCAGCTAGATTAATCGGGCTGCCTCCTTCCTATATATATCCTAACCCTAACAGGCCAAACAGGCCAAGCCCAGCAGCCCACATACCAGCCCAAAAAGACAAATATATGTCCTGGTCGTCCATATGCCCTGGTTGGACGATTAATCGCGATTAATCGACGATTAATCGGACGACCAGGTTTCTGGTCGAGCTGGTCGGGTCGGACCTCCTAATCGAGCACTTGGGAGCGACCAGGACGATTAATCGCGATTAATCGGACGACTTAAAATCAGGGGGGTGGAGTTTACCTAGAAATGCTCTAGATTCGGAAATGGCACTTGTGTGCTGCATATACATAGTAACCTTCTTATGTAACTATATTTCTCGTTGTTAGAACTGGTTTTTATTAAACAAACTCGTGCTTTCTGCTCTGTCTTGACATTGATTTACTTGCCTTTTGCAGGTACTTGGCTCAAGAGGATGTGCACCAAAAGCTTGAGACAAGGTAAAAGTATGATTAAAGATTTTTATTTTTTTAATAGTTTACACAAATGAAATTGTTCATTCAAGATTTTTGTGCCACAAAAGTGCAGCATTTTTTAAACCGATGGCATTAACATTGTACAACCATCAAAGCTCTTTCTTTTCGGTTTTATTATAATATAATGATAATATTCCTAGGCCAGGAGCCAAAAGTTCTTGTGACGTTTTGTGGTGATCAGATATCCTCCGTGTTTCTTGTTTTTCCTTCGCACGGCTATTGTCATGCAATTAGCATTTTGGATGCAGTAGTCCACAACCCTATTGTCGGTTCTTTTTTTGCTAGCCCAAATCATCTGGAACCGCCTAAAAAACGATCTCTTCCTGTGTCCCAGGACGAGTAGTGATGCCTTGAGTCTTTTTGCTGTTTCAACTATAACTGCTCCCTTTTCCTTTCCTTCTCGGACAACCAGCTCGACTTGCACCTGCCTCACCATATTTGTTTTCAAGCATTAAATAATTGGTTAACAGCATAAAAATTATTTTTGATTTTGCAAATTGCATCGTGTTCAGAATATTCAAAAACAGCTTATGTGCAATACGAAACTTCAATTCAAAGTTGTGTGGTACTCACCTCAGGCCTTTTCAGTTGGCACATATTTTTTGCGGGGCGTAAAATACCGTATCCTCTTTGGTTGATTTCGTTGCCACTCTTTTCATCTAAACATGACGTGACATTTTGTGTTGAGATAAATTGTTTCCATCACACGAACTAAATAGAAAGTAGTAAAATTGTATTAGCATCCAAATCCAATACCTTTTTTAGCAACATGCAAAAGAATGATTGTGTCCTGGCTTTGAACAGTGTGAGAGAGCGCCCACTCAAGAGCCCCTGTGGCTTCTGGACTCGAATCAACCACAACCATCACTCGATTCCCATTTTCGGACTCGGGCAAGTAACTACTGAAGCCGAATTCATTGCTTTCGCGTGGAAGCTTCGACTTTTCTTTTGCTTTGGTGAAGCTTGGTGTTTTCGAGTACTTCTGGCTCTGAGAAGGCGAACGGACTCGAACACGGGAACGCACGCGCACACGAACGCGTGTTGCGGCTTCACTTGAGCACCAGCCCGCCATTTCTAGTATTTGGCTGCTCAGATTGTGTCTTATTGGAATTGTTATTAATTCTTATATATAGAGGTGGGACTTGTGTTTATTTAATGGGTGTTGTTGCAGTCTGAAAACGCCATCTTTGCTTCTGTTGAGAGGTGCTTGTTTTTTCAACGTGCTTACCATGAAGCAGAATGGTATTAAGGCGGTAGGTGTGAATTATACGATATGCTATCTGAATGAAAATGACCTCACCAGAAGAAGGATATCATATATTTTTATTTTTATTTTTATTTATTTATTTGCTTTTAGTCAATGGCCTTATTGGAAGGAGAAATTTATTTTTAAGATCTTCCATTGAATCCTCTGTTTTATTCTATTTCTAAGGAATGTTCATGGCACGTTGCATGGATCGTGGCAAGAACATATTTATCAGCTTGTTTTTAAGAGATTTTTAAACGCCTATTGCTGATAAAACGAAGAATCTCATGGCATGATGAAATCACATGAAAATGAAATGTTCATTCATTTCATGATCAGTATAATACTTTGTACTAAAAATCAGCCTAGGCGGCCGTCTAGATGGCGCCCAACGCTAGACGCTACCTCTGCCGTCTGCGATTTGCATAAATTGGTTGTAAAAATCGGCAGTCGGCTAGGCGGCGTTCCTAGACTGACTCACCGGCAATTTTTTAATTATTTTTAAAATATTATTTACTTTATTTTGTTTCATTATTATTTATAGTATAGTAATGTTATTATTTAGACTTAAACGTGTTGATTTATAATACGTTGAGATAATTTTATTTTTTATGTAGTGAAAGTAAATAAAAAATGTGTATTTAATCTTTATTTTTAGGTCCCGTCTAGGTGCTCTAGGCGCTGGTCGGCTCCTAGCAACTTTTAGAACACTTATGGTATAAGATAGAGAGTGTAATGACTATTTTTTTTCCAACGATATAAGTAATATAAATCAAAAAGTACAAAAGTGCGAATACACAGCAGCCAACGGCTGAATGCTCCGCAGCCAACAGCTGAAAAAAAAAAAACAGACAAAGGGAGGACATGTCATACGACCGCCTAAGATCCCGACTAGCAACGCTAAAATAAAAAAGAAAAAGACACAACACGACTAAACAAACGAAACACAGAAAAGCAAAAACAACTACAAAATTCCAACAGGGTAATACCCGAGCGTCGGCCCCAACAGGGTAATACCCGAGTGTCGAACCCCAACAGGGTAATATGGTGACACTCGGGCGTACAGAGTGACACTCGGGCGCACGGAGACCAACGGCCCACACCAAAAACACAGACACAAGAAACAAACCAACACAAACCTAGACAACACACCACAAATACTCACAAAGCAAAACGAAATAAGACAAACTAAAACACCAACGAGAGCCCTTCCCACAGCGGAAAGCCACACCGAACACAACCATGACAGAGTCGAGCCCAAAATCCCGAACCAGAAACTGCATAAGCACCTAACTGAATCGAAGATCCACGGGTTAGCCCAACCCACGTCCAGACGAACAAACCCCACCTGTCACCTGGAGAAAAAACATCTAGTCAAACAGAAAACCTCAGCCCGGCGATTACCGACGACTTCGAACCAAAAGCAAGCAACCCAGCTAGACAATCGCCGACAACCGCACCTCACAGCCCCGACCCAGCAATCGCCAACGACCTCACCACCTACACTCAGCACCAACCTGCAATTCCCGAACTCCCCGCGCTCGAGCAGAGCAGCTCAGCCCGACAACCCAAAAATCGCTAACAGCCACACCTCCAAATCACACCTGCAATCGCCGGCGACCACTATTCGAAATTAGAAAAACTATTTCATTGGATTAACTGTTTCGTAAGTTATACACAAGTTTACTCATTCCCAAATCCTTAAGATTTATTTATTTATTTTTTAATAAAACTAACAACTCCCAATAAGAAATAAATATCTAAAATATATATAAATCATGATTAGAATATATTTACAAATATTTATTTATAAAATTAGTTTAATATATAATTCTAGAAATATTTTTACCTTTATTTAATATTCATATATTGGTTAGACATATAAAATATTTATACAAAAAAATAAAAAAATATATATATATATCTATGAATAATTTTGAAAATTTTATTACTTTATGTTTATTTATTCATACACATTATATTTTATTCATAAATTAAATTACTTATAAAATAATTTATATATCATATATTCTTATAAAGGGTAACTATATTGGTTTTAATTAGTTAATACACATATAAATATATAATTTTCTTATTTATTAAGTTACATGAGTGTGATAATATAAAATATTTGACATGATTGGTATGTTGGAATGAAATTTGATAGGAATGGAATAAGTTGAGGAATGAAGTGAATATGAGAAAGGAATGAAACAAATTTCAATTGATATGTTTGATTACAGAAGGAATAAGACCTGAATGAAATGACACTAAAATATTATATTATCATTATCACTATTTTATAGAAAAAAATATTTGTATTAATGCTATTTTTTATTTATGATAATAATGAAAATATTTTATTTTTTTAAAATATATACTATATTTTAAATAAATATATTTTTTTATCGTTACACTCATATATATTTGATAATAAATTAATAAATTGTGGTTTCTTATACATATTAACTAATATCATTACATAAACCCTTATACGCATATGTGGTTGTAAAAAACTTTTTATATTATAATTAAATTTATGAATAAATATACAATATATATGATGTATAAAAATAAAATAATATCTTTTAATTTATTTATAAATTCATTTTTTTAGTTTTACTTTTATATGTATGAGTATTAATACATCTAATTAAAATATGAACAATAAATAAAAATAAGTTTTAAAAAATTTTATTTGAATTTTATTTTTAAAAATAATTTTATTTAATATAATTTATTCATGATTTATAGTATATATTATATACTTGTTTTTGTTAATATTTGTTCATTTTATTTCTTAAAATTTTGATTCCTACACATATGTGAATGAGAAAAACTTACATTTGCTAAGGAATGACTAATCCTATGGACATAGGCAGAGCCAAAGAAGGCCCAGGCCCCCCTCATTTTTTTTTTTTAAAAAGTATATATATATATATATATATATATATATATATATAATCTATAATATATATAAAAACTATAAAATATGTATAGAAAAATGCAAAAATTATATACAATATATTAGTAACTAAAATTTATTTTTTGCTATTTTAGTTTAAAATAATATTATTTTATATTAAAAAATGTACTAACTATAGTTATATTTTGCATTTCTCGATAAACTTTTGAAAATATTTATAATGATTTACACTTTCGGTCTCTTAATTGAAATCAATTTAGTGATTTATAAGACTAAGTATTTAGTTCGATTGTTATATTTATGAATATTATTTTTTACTTTTTTTTGTAATCACATATTTTTAAATTTATTAATATAAATCAATTTAGTGATTTATAAAACCGAGTATTTAGTTCGATTGTTACATTCATGAATATTGATTTTTTACTTTTTTTTGTATAATCAAATATTTTTAACTTTATTATTTATTTTTTTTAAAGAAATTATAAGCTCTCAACAAAAATGTTATGCAATGTGCTGCAAAAGTACAATTTAAATTAATTTTTTCAACCAAAAAAACTTATTTTTCCATAAATTATAGATGTTGCACTTAAATTATAAATACACTAATTTGTTTTTAAAAGTTTGAGGGTGATACAGATTCTAAGTATTTAAAAACACAATGGTAAACATATCTATATTTATATTTATATTAAATACATTTGTATATGAAATGAGTGTTTCGACTTAAACTATATTACTTATCATTTAAAATTGGGCCCCCCGAGTTAAATTTCTAGATCTGTCACTGCCCATGGACTTGGGATTTGCAATTCCCATGACAATGGTCATTCCTTTCAAAAGAATATACCAATTATGGGATAAGGAATGAGTAATGGAATGATCATTCCATTCCAATTTCATTCCCGTAGACCTTCTTCAACCGAACGGGAAAACTCAATTTTTGCAGTGAAATCTCCTCCAACCGAACGGCAAACGCAGCGGCAATTTGCGTTTTTGCCTTCTCTCTCCTCCTCCAAGACGCAAATTTGCGTCTGGACGCAAAATATGCGTACTCTCTCTTTTTTTTTTTGCATTTTAGTCCTTTTCTTTATGTTAATCTTATTTTGTTCTTTTTGTTTTTGCATTTAAGTTCAATCCTTATATGGATGATTAAATTAATGAATGTTAATTATATATATTTATCAAAATAGTAATATTAATGTAAAATAATAAATGTTATATTTATCATTTAATTTGCACTAATACAATGAAAAAAAGTAACAGTTTTTAAAATGTGAATATATGCGCTAGACCATATATGGTCTAGAGTGTAAATTTGCACTAAATGTTTTATCTGTCATTTAATCTGCACTAATACATTGAAAAAAAGTAACAGTTTTTAAAATGTGAATATATGCGCTAGACCATATATGGTCTAGAGTGTAAATTTGCACTAAATCGTATATTTTCAAAAGTAACAGTTTTGATTCAATCGGTACATAGATGTATATGTATCTTCTTCACTTTTGAAATGAAGATGTAGTTAAAATACAAATATAGGACAAGAAAATTTTTTATTCATATGGTATCATTTTAATATTAAAAAATTGCAAAAATAAAATTATAATACATCAATAAATAAAAAGCACAAAATAGTTAACATAAAAAGTACATTACACAAATTATTTAGCATAAAAAATACATTTACTAATACACATTATACAAAAATTTACACGGTATTTTTATTTAACAATAAAAGAAAACACTAGCATTAAATAACAACGACATTACTAATACATATTGAAATAAGACTAATACATGATACATCACGGTTTAAGGAAAAACATTTCAATAACTAGTGCTGAAATAAAAAAACAAGATCACACGGTACTAAAATAAAAATACATCATAAACCCAA